AGAGAGAGAGAGAGAGAGAGAGAGAGAGAGAGAGAGAGAGGAGAGCAAGTTACTTAATGTTTGTAGGCAAGTGTGAATGTGAACCCCAATCCTTCCAGTCCTAACCAGGCCGAGTGTCCCACACTGGCTGTCCAAGTGGAAGAGACACAACCCAACAGCAGAGCCCTGCTTTGCACACAAGATATTCCGGGTTCTATGCCCTGTATTTCCAGGTGGGGCTGGGAAAGACCCCCAGCCACACGCCCCCAGAGAACTCTGCCACTCAGCAAAAACCAGGGACCAAAACTATCTTTCCAAGTTTCCCCAGAAGCCCCCCAGTGGCAGCCTGTCTTTTGCACAGCTTCTCCCTGGCACCCCATCCAAAAGGCCTCTCCAAAGGGTTAGTCCAAGGGACCTAAAGCAGCTGGCGTCGTTCTGCTCCTCTTTGCAAGGGTGTTGACAGATAACATGGGGGAGGCAATGGATTCTGCAAGCCACCTTCAGCCCCTTGCAGGACAAGGGGACGAGGATGCAAATCCAGCAGGTTCCACAGCCTTATATACTCCTCCCTGTCCAGCAGGAGCCAATGAGCAGCCTGGGTGGGCGAAGCCATGCCAGGAGGCTCCTCCCCACGGGGGTGCTCAGCAGTTCCCCTTTCGATAAGGAGAGGCTGCAACGTCGCCGGATTTTTGCAGTCTCCTTGCAGAGTTACCTGTCCCGAACCTAAATATTTACACCACTATACCCAGGCGGCATCCCGTTAGTTTTGGGGCGAGGGGCTGCCAAGAAACACCTTGCTCAAGCTGTAGTTCTGTCTCCCTTTGGTCTGGGCGAAGCAGTGCCAACGCCATTCCCCCTCCCTCTGAAAGTCCACCGTTTCACTGTCTTTGCCATCCTGAGCCAGAGCAGAGCTGCTTGACTGTGTTCCCCAGGAGCCAAGGCATTAGGGGGTGGTTACCAGGACCCAGGGCCGTCTTCACCCACAGACCTGATGGGCACTTGCCCATGGGCCCCATACTAATCTGTGTCTGTTAACCCTTGGAAAATTGGAACACTTCCAAAATTACAGTTATTTGTTTTTTGGCGCCAGGCTAAGACCTTTTTATTCAAACAATATTTTAACAATGTTTAATAATTATAGGTTTTAATTGTGCAGCCAAGGTGTTTCCGGGTTTTAATTGTATTGTATTATATTTATTTGCATCCATATATGCCCTCCCACCCCTTGAGATCAGCAACGGATGCCCTTCTCCGGGAACCCTCTGTGAATGATATTAGGAGGGTGAGTACCCGGAGGAGGGCCTTCTCGGTGGTGGCGCCCCACCTATGGAATGCGCTCCCCAGAGAGGTCCACCTGGCGCCGTCGTTATTTGTTTTTCGGTAACAGGCTAAGACCTTTTTATTTAAAACTTATTTTAATTGTTAATTTATTGGTTATTTATAGGATTTTAAATCTTTTAAGCCAAGATGCACCGGGTTTTAATATTTTTATTGTACAATTTGTTATATTTTGTTCTTGTTGTGAGCCGCCCCAAGGCTTTGTTGCGATGGGGGCGGCATAAAAATGTTTTAAATACATACATACATACATACATACATACATATTTCTGTGAGCCGTCCCGAGACTATATAGCAAAGGGACGGCATACAAAAACTTTAAATAAATAAAATAAATAAACAGTAGTTGTAGTTGTCACAGGGGCACCAGTACACTGCATTGCCCAGGGCCCATCATGCTGTCAAGACGGCTCTGAAGGCACACGGCCTTTTCGGTGGTGACACCCCAGTCTTAGAACACTCTACCTGGACATGTTTACTCCCTGGCTGTTTCTGTGTAGTTTTATTTCTCAGGC